AGAAGCAGTGACTTGTTCTTTAGTATGTAGAGTTACTCTGAGTGGAGACCAACTTTAGGGATTCTAACAATGACAATATGCTAATCATAGAATGCAATAAATCAATAGTTCGTGGTTGAGGCAACTAAAGAGACTCACTGCCATCGAGTGGATGCTGACTTATAGCCACTCTATAGGACAGGGTAGAACTTCCCCTGTGGGTTTCAAAGACTATCACGGTTTGTGGGAGTAGAAAGGTCCAACTTTCTCCTGAGGAGCAGCTGGTGGTTTTGAACTCCTGACCATACAGATCGTAGCCTAATGCATCACCACTATGCCACTGGGCTCCTATAGGGTCACTATAATTTGGAATTGACTTGATGGCAGTGTGTCTGAGTTTCAGTCTTACGATTTCGAGTTCTGGTCCCTGTTTCTCTCCCACTCTATCCAGGACTTGTTAATATGATGCTTTCAGAGTAGTTGTTAGGGGTGGTTGGGCACCATCTCCTTTTTCTGGTTGCGAGGTTGTGGAGACTGATAGTTACATGCTCAAAGTTTCCATTGGACTAACTGTGTTCATGTGTGTTTTGATTTTCAACGATCTTCTCTCTTCTGGATAGGGAGAGATCAATAGTTGAAACTTACATAGCTACTCATGAGCAATGAACACCCCAGTTTGCTACTCAACAAATCAGGCTATAGAACCATGGTTCTCAACCTTCCTCAGGCCGCAGCCCTTTCATACAGTTCCTCATGTTGTGGTGACCCCCAACCTAAACATTATGTTAGTTGCTAACTCATCACTGTCATTTTGCTACTGTTTTGAATCTTCATGTAAATATCTGATATGCCAGATGTGTTTTCATTGTTACAAATTGAATATCATGAAAGCATAGTGATTCATCGCAAAAACAATATGTAATTATATATTGTGAAGTATTTCTTTCTAATGACAAATAAATGAAATTTTATCTTGAAGTATAGTGTACCATGGGTAACAATCTCCACCCTGGGTACTCATATGTGGGCGTATCTGCATGTGGGCGGACCCGCCGGGAGACAGAGAGAGGAGCGGTGTCTCTGTTCCTAAGACCATCAGAAATATGTGTTTTCCATTGGTCTTAGGCGACCCCTGTGAAAGGGTCTCTGTTATTGGTTCTCTGTCCAAAGTGCTCCCCTTAGTATTTCTTTTAAGGTTTGAGTGGTACTTACAAGTTACTTTAATTTTTGCTTATCTGGAAATGTTCTTATTTCACCATGACATTTGAAGGACCGTTTTTTGGGGTAAATAATTATTGCCAATTATTTTTCTTTCAGAGTTTCATCCTATTCCTTTCTTGCCGACATAGTTTCTGCTGAGAAATCAAGGCTTGGTCTTATTGGTTCTTCTTAGCAGGTAACTTTTCATCTCTCTGAGCTGCTCTCAGGATCCTTTCCTTACCTTCGGCTTTAGAAGACTTGGTTAGGATGTGCTACATTGATTTTCAGGGGTCTATCCTGTTTGATGGTCATTCAACTTCTTGAGGGCTTATGTTCAGGTTTTTCATGCTGTTACAGAATTTTTCTTCCAAAGTCTCTGAGTTAGTTAATTGTGCCAGGCTGGCCGATAATCACATGTGG